TCATAGTAAAGTATGACTGGCCGACACATGACTTTTAACTCATCCTCAGAAACCTCAACCCATGTACTTGAAACCAAAGACAAGTGGAAAGCACCTAGCTTTTACAGATCGGACAATCTTTTCATCGTGCTATAATTCAAGAATTTTTTAACTTTTCTCCATCCTAATAGGGATAAGGCTACCGGAGATAGTATGTCGAAAATTGAAGTGCACCGTTTTTTTTTTATTTGAATAATATGTAACTATTAATTAAAAATAATAAAAATAGAAAAAATTAAAAGTATCATTTTTATTTATTTTTTTAATATACTAGTTGGTGCACACATCCGTTGCACGTGTACCATTTTAAATTTGACGTATTGTATATTACAACCTTTCAATATATTTGCACGAAAAAAGTGTCTCCTTCCATATATTATGTTACTGATGTTGAAGCTAAAAAATAAGTATTATCCTTTTAGTTGATTAAAAATCTGTTAGTGCTTCCTTAAACTTAGAATGACAATTTTTGTGTTTTTGAAGTCGTATTTGACTGCGAAAGTGGTATATACGTCTCACACTATAACTGAATAAGGAAAAAAAAAATGAAGTGTATCTTTAAAAATACATCATTCATGAAAATCATAACCTATGATCATGTTACAATCGATCATTTTATGAAACTTTAAAATTTTGGTTTCAACATACATCTAAGGACTAATTTTAGGTTATAGAATATGTTTGGCAATCATGCGCATATCATCTAACATTGGTATAATTGGAAGATCTTTGTCCACTCTCTCAATGTGTGTTCAGAGAGTCGCAGATTTTTCAGTCAAAATCTCCATGTACGTTCCTCCTACGTATACAAAATGGTTCAAATGTAAATACAAAGAAATAACCAACAATATCCACCACTTAATAACTTATGTGATAAATTATCATAGGTGTGTGCTATGACATATTGTACCGTTAAAAAAATATCTTTGCACACAACAAATCTAAGTAGAAGGCTATTCATCTAATATCAATCTTTGGAGTTGATCTCTCAATTGAAAAGGACTTAAAATTCTCAGCTAAATGCATAAATCCAGACCAATCGCAGCAAAAATGATAAACCATGTTCCAAATGCTCAAAAGTGAAACAAATTTACCTGAAAACCTGTCTTATCTTTTATTTCATGTCTTATTTTATCATTTCATGTTGTTATGATATATGAATTAGTTATCCCACCACCATAGGCAACTCCATCCCTGCAAAAATTAAAGGGATCAATAAGCATTTGTTAAACTGTCATTGTTACCTGATGCAACTTTCATGAAGAAGTACCTAAAGAAATAGGTATTTATTAATATGTTAAGTTATTTTATCAAGCAAGCAACAAGTTGGTAGCCACTTATACAACGATACCAGCATGGATCCAATGAAATGCATGATTTGGGTGTCGACCAAGATTTTATTGCATTCACAGTGTCGGTTGCACATGTTTTTAATTTATGAGAAAAATCTTCTTTTGTAAATAGATGGTACCGAGCTTAAGAACAACCATGCATGGATATAACCTTAAAGAATAGTGATACAGTAGTTTAGAGTTCAAGACACATTGCAAGCCTTAATTTTTTATTCTAATCTAATAAGTCTGACTAAAAAATTAGTCTCCAACCAGGCTACAGGCTTGGAGACTTGAAATTCTGTAAAAGTTATCAAAAAGTTTATAGAAAAACAAACATTTTATCTATAATACATCTATACTATTTCTAAATGTACATATGTTGGAAAAACTTTTGATAGTTTTCTATTGTTTATATGTCACCCTCTTGATCCCTTGATACCTTGTTCCACATTTAGTCAATAAAAGCAAAGAAGCAACAAAGATTCGGTGAAAGAATTAGGAGAAACCATTAACTATCAAGCACATAAATAAAAGGTGAAAAAAATGCAGACATCTCAAATAAACTCACAAAAATTAAAATAATGGATAATATTTTGAGTTTATAGTCAAAAATGAAAATTTTAAGATTCGAAAGAGTCACATTCAACTCAATTTTAATAGACATTTTATGTCTTTAATATTTAATATAATTAGAATTGGATGTTTCATTATGTTGTCAATAAATTAAACAACAATGTAACAAATTTTGGGACATGAAATTAATCAAAGTATACTCAAGTTTAGGATCGATAATTTAAAACTAAGATTAGGAAGAACCATTGTAGTCCTATGTTTAAAAGATATACCAAGTCTTCAATCAATGAAAAATAAATGCAGAGTATAACAAAAAAAAGCATGCTCAAACAACCTTAATTTTAAATGACAAGCTCTTAAAAAGAAATTATCAATAAAACTATATCGAATTCCCCCACGCAAAACAATGTCATAACAAATTGAATTATCTTCATTAACCAAAGACAACAACACAGTAACATAGAGAGAGAAAAGAAAATACTGCATAAAGAATTAAAACTGATTTGCAGAATCAAAGTCTTAGAAATTCATGCCCCAAACCCATTGAGTTCGATTCCAACTCAAGCCAAAAACAATTGAAACCTAATTAGAACATGTCCGCAGCACCCAAAAATATACTCAAAGATATAGCTAAATCAACATAAATCAAGCAATTGGGTTAATATACAACATGTGGTGAAGTAAAATCTTAGCAAGTACTCTTTGATGGTGCTCACACTGAGTCACAACCAACTATTCTTAAGTCCCAACACATCAGTGACAAGCTTAAAAACAGAGTCTCTACTGAATGAATTATTTGCATTCTTTCCATTGCATTGAAATGTATGAAACTTTGTGGTAGTGATTTGGCCGAAAAATGCCAGCGACAGCAAGATCAGGAATTTCAAAAGTATCAAAACTTACTCAATGGTCTTATCCAACTTGTGCCTTTTAGCTGCAACTGCTTTGGTAATTGTTTTCCTACCCTGAGCTTCTAAGAATTGAAACCAAATTTTTTTGAGTCCACTCAAATTAGATCACAATGAAGCAGTAATAAAAAAACGAAAAAAGAAATTGCAACAAATGGTTTTAGGTATATTAGGTAATGGTTTGCGCCATGAACAAACTTGATAGAACTTGGTTATACTCGCTAGATTTTTTATTGGTCAAGATTGAGCCATTCACTCTTCACATTATGTTTTCCCTAGTTTCCTCCTAAACAAATGGAAAATAAACTTGAAAAAATATAGGCACTCAGCAAATATAGCCATTCACACATGCAATGTTGCTGTCATTTTAACTTCTCTACTATGTTGTATGTGTAATATTGTCATATGTGAATGAGATGTTATCTAGGAGAGAAGCATACTTGAGAGAAGAGGAAGTTATTGTAGCATTAAACAAACACTCAATTTTTTGTAAGACAAAATGACAAAGCATTCAATCTTCTCTTTTCCGTCAATATGGCTTTATATGAACTGGGAGTGCATGTGCACCTCTTTGAACATCCCACCAAAAATATCAAGTAATAGAAACAACAAGCTAAACATTTGGAGAAAATAAGTCGGTAAATTCAGAAAACTCCCTCCAAAAAATACCCTCTAAAACTCCTAATTCATGATTGAAATAGAGTGTTTTTAATTTCATAAGCTACTTCAAACCATGTATGTCATTCCAGTCCAGTCCAGTCACTACTTGAATCGTTCAATAGAGATATATACAAAACCCCAGGAAAATGAATCGCCAAGAATTATAATCAATTATCATATCATAAATCTAAACAGTATGCTTCAAAGAGGTAAAACTAACAATGAACTAAATTTAGATTATTGTTTTCTACAATGTAATAAAGACTCATAATTCCTATGAAAATCTATTTGTTTGCAATAATATTTAGGGAACATAGCACACTATTCATTGTTAATGACTTCGAAGAAATAGGACTAATCCAAGTTAAAGACATGTAAATAAGTCCAATATTCCGTGAAATTACCATTCATGTTAAAGTTCAACTTGGCAACAACAAGAAGGGCACCAGTAAACTGAACACAGTGAATGATCAATTGAACCAGGACCAAAAAATGCTGAGTATATAGTATGAATGCAATGAAAAGTAGTTACACCTCTAAACCAGGTTTTGAAAATCGGTCATTACAGTGCGTAACGGCCGTTGTATAACGGTAACGATAAATTCTGATCTCGTTACATCCCGCTATAACGGGTAGAATAAATTTCACGTCAATAATGGCCATTACGGCACTGTAATGGGATGTAACGGACGTTATGAGAGTGTTACAGTCTGTTATGTCACCGAAACGGCCTATTTTATAGCTTTTGCTACTCATCCATGACGGTTTTATGGCTGAAAGAGATGACCGGCTAAAAAGTTGGTGAGTGAAGTTTTGTATGTCTGAGAATTGACAGCCTGTCATGGGTTGGCAGATTTTTGGAAAGGCAAAAATCAAGTGAGGCAAATTCTTTCTACAACTTATGTATTGAACGGTTGTTATTCATTATCAACAAATTTAGTTCATGAATAGATGACAAGTGTTATATTTTTTAATAACGTGAAGGAGTGATTTTAAATAGATTGAAAATTTGTAGGTGATGGGGTCCTTCTTATACAAATTTACCAGCTAGTAATTTTTACTTATAATTGCAATTTTTTTGTTATCCCAATGATCTAGATTTATTTTGAATACAATTTTTAAATAAATAGATATTAATTGCTTAAACTAATTTACTTTCATTTGCTCTAAATTTGGATTCATTAAGCAATTTAGCATATCAAAATCATGAATATAATAAAAAATTATTATAAATTACAAAAAAACTGAATTTATTTTATTTTGTTCCAAATATATAGAAAATTTTGATTTTTGCCGATAGTTGTGAATGAATTAACAAAATTCACGACTTCAATTTCTGTTTTCGTTACGTAACGCCTGTTACATCTCATATCCGTTACATCATTATCAATATCGTTACAACACCCGTTATCGTTATTCAGAACCATGCTCTGAACCAGTGTAACCACCGGCTCTAAGAACACCAATCCTACGACACTTGTTACTGTTATTCAGAACCATGCTCTGAACCAGTGTAACCACCGGCTCCAAGAACATCAATTCTAATGGCCTTCGCAGGCTTCTGAGCTTGAATATCCGCAGGCTTCTGAGCTTGAATATCCGCAAGCTTTAAGCTTTGTGGTGTTGAGGCCACTGAGGATCTATCACACAGTTTTTGAACCTTTGAATTCTTGATTTAATCCTACAATAATAAGTAATCAGCTCAGAAAAATCCCCCATAATAAAATCCCAAAATTATGCAACCGATAAGAAAATATTAAGCAAAACAATCAGAAAAAATATTGCTAGTAAGTGCTCTTTACGTATTTGTCAATTTTCTCAAGTGCTTTGTCAAGCCCTGTTCATCGGAGCCTTCGGAGCTATACTATTAGTGAGGGGGCGGCTGGTATAACAATGCTCAGCCCTCTTCGAATGAAATGAGGAACAATGAAAATAACTTTGTTCAACACGAGAATAGGGATAATCATCCCAACTCCAACGATTCCTCCATGGACATGCACGCAGATAGTTCGGATCATGACGCTACCTACTGAATTTCTATTAGAATTGGTGCACAAGCTGCTTGCCAGGCGTTGGTTAGGTGTCTTCAAAATGCTATTTCAGTCCTGTGGTTTTACTTTTATTGCCGTGTTGCAATTGAAAAAAATACAGGGGAATGTCTGTTTGATGCTTAAATATGACCTGCGGAATTCTTCAGTTGAATTCCTGTAATGGTCGAAGGAATTGAATACGCAGAGAGAAGATTGGTAACGGTGGCCTTTTGTTCTTCGCCGAGTCATAATACGCAAGGAAGAGAGAGGGGAAGACAAAGAGATGGAAGGTGTGGGTGTGGGTGTGTGTTTGTGAATACGCAGAGAGAGAGAGAGAGAGAGTGAGAGACGATTGGTAACGGTAGAAAATTGGGAGGCATTGATGAATACACAAGGGAAAGAGAGAGGGGAAGACGAAGAGAGAGAACGTGTGGGTATCTGTTTGTGAATACGCACAGGTGGAGGGAGAGAGAGAGAGAGAGACATGATTGGTAACGGTAGAAAATTGGGAGGCATTGATGATTTAGGTTTCCTCTAGGGCAGGTTAGATTGGCTTTAATCTTTACGGATAAGAATGACATACTTGAGATTTTATTGAGATTTTAGAGGGTAAAAGTGAAAAAAAATTGTTTTTAACATATCCTGACTTTTTAGGGTAGTACAGCATATAGATAGTGAACGAGATTTCATGTTCAGCGCGTAATGGAACTGCCTAATAGGTTTCATATTTGTTGAATCAATGGTTAGATGAAGAGACTTACTGATTGATTGATTGATTGATTGATTGATGCTTTTTTCTCACTTGCATGAAGGGATAGTACTGGTGGCATGTTTTATCTTACATTGTGGGGTCTGAAGCACTCTTATCCAGACTCACTTCCAAGTTTGTAGAACAGAAGATTCTATGGAATGAGAGATGGAAGTTCCTTCACATTTGCCTATATAAACATCCACTTTAGCCCTTCTCACCAGCACCCCTCCACCCCCCCCCCCCCTCGTCCTCTTCTCTCTCTCTCCCTCTCCCTCTCTCTCTTAGTGTTTGTGGGCTTGAGAATGAGGTCAGGGCGTAGCAGCAAAGGGTTGTTTCTTGAGAGAGGAAGGAAGAGAAAGATGAAGTTTTTTATGGTCAAGAACAAAAACACTACACAAAGGAAGCTCAAACAGCTCCAGAGGATGATCCCGGGGGGAGAAGAAACGGACCCGGTGACGTTGTTTCAGAAGACTGCTAATTACATCTTTCTGCTTGAATTCCATGTGAATTTTCTCAAGAAAATATGCAGTTCTTGTGGAGTGTAAGAATACCACAACTAGCATAAAGTCTAGCTGGTCTACTTCAATCTGTTTAGGTTCTTACAGAGAGAAAATAGAACCCGCTACTAGTATTTGTAGATGTATTATGACTTTTGTGCGATAAATAAAAATGCAAATATGGTTTCTATGATCCTATCAGACTCTTCTCTTGGTATTTTGCACTATAACAAGATGTAGGAAAAGAAGAGAGCTATTGCGTAAACAGACATGGCTGTAAGATTCTTAAGCCTAGCATTATAGAGTACTGTTTCATCACTTGTAAGGTAAGTGCCACTGTACAACTTAGAAAATGTTGACATTGTAATAAAACTTTTGTTGTTGTGTAAGACTTATTATTTTTGTTTCCTATTTATTAAAACACGGAAAATGCTATAGTACCCCAAAAAAAAAAAATTCATATCAACAAAGAATTTATGTTCATAAATATTCGATTGATTCATTTTTAGTCATTGATCATTAAAATAATAAAATAAAAGAGTAAATAAATAGAAAACTCACATTCGCATTTATTAAAAAAAATAAATATGGTATCAAAAAGCAATTTAGATTACCCTATTAGCAAGGACAGTGAGCTAAATAATTTGTCAAATTTCATAGGCCAGGTTGGGGGTTGGCTTATAGTGTAATACTCAATGCTCGATTGATGTTTGGGCTATTGTTCTCGGGCAGTTCGGTTCATTATGGAAGATTAGTCTGTTGATTTGGTACCAGAGACGAGCACAGGTGACAGGAAATGAAATACCCATGTTAAGAAGAGATTGGGTATTTGATAGAAAATTTCCCTTTTGAGGACACAAAGTTTGGGGAATTCCTAAAAGTACATAGAAGATGTTGGCTACATGTAGTAGCTTTTTATTTTCCATACCATTTCCAATTTAGACCATTCCTTACATGTTTAGTTTCAATATAACATGAGATGAGATTGAACAAGTCACTCTATCTAAACTATTCTGGTCATAGTAATTGTCAACCTCCCTTTATTATATCCCAATAAAATCATGGCTGAATTAAGATTTAGATAAATTGTGAACGAATTATTGTAATACAATTCTCATGTTTAGACGAGGGATTAATACATAGTAGTAAGGTAAAAAGGACAAAATCATTTTTCTCTCGTCATTTTTGATATTAATATCAGTCATGCATCATTTAATACCATCTATGTGTGGTACTAATTTGTACCTAATATGGAATGTTAGATGACACTTTAGTATCGGGCAGAGGCATGAAAATACCTTTAATACCAAGACTTGTAACTTGATCAAAATTTAATATTAAATGAGAATTTGAACTAATTTTGTCCAGTCCTATCCTTTAAAACCTAAACAAACGTGCGGGTTTTAACCGGGCCGACGCAAAAGATGATTTGGAATCAGATTCCCATTTGCGAACGGGCCTCGGACACAAATATCCGGCTTCTTCACATATAGCTGCACAGGTGTTGCTCAATTGGATTATATTGTTTGGCAAAGGGTAGTGGATTTTGTGAAAGGTCCATAACCAATCTAGGTTTAGCAAAATGGTTAACATAGTGGGCCTTTAAGGAAGAGTCGTAATTTGTTAGAGGCCCATACATTGGCTAGTTGGCCAGTAAAAATGACCCACACTATACCTGTTACTTGAACAATGTTACTTTTCGGACCCAAAAAAAAAAAACAATGTTACTACAACCTAATTAATTGATGTAATAATTTACGGTCATTAAATTGACGGTGAATTCAACTGTTTAAGACTAGTCATCAATTCTGTGATAGATTAAGTCAACAAATTATAATAATAAATTAAGTTCAGATATTACTAAAGTTGTTTGACTTTTAAAGTTATGAAACTTAGCTTATGCACAAAGAGTATTTATTATTTTATAATATACCTTATAGGTAAAAATCATTATGTCTCTTCCGTCTTTAAAATTATAGTCATAAGTTTTAATATTGTATGTTAAAATATCTAATATATTTTTATCTATTAAAAATACAGATAAATTTGAAAAATAGTTAAAATAAACTGTTTATTTAAATTATTTGGTAAAATATTGGATAGAATGATGAAATATCATAATTTACATTCGTAAAGTAGGGTGAACACCCCTACTTCATCCAATTGGCTAAATGAATTTTCCCTTTTCTTATCAGTGGAGCCTAAGAAGAAATTTTATACTTACAATTTTGTCAGGTTTATTTAAAGTCCCAACTTTTCGAAATAATGGGTAGCCTCTTTTCTGTTGCTCTCTTTATTTTGTTTGTTTCACCGTGAATCTGGTCTGGTTGCGTGGTTTTTTCTAATCTTCATGTTTTCCATGTAACTCTTTTTATTCTTGAATGTGATCATTCTAGATCTTTATATTTTTGTTTCGTTATTATCTCGCACCGAAACTTGGGCTAGAGAAGTTAATTCCTAACATCACAGGTATGGAAAATCGACTTGAATCTAATACATCATAGTATAAAAAGTTTTTTGGGAAAATTTTGTCTACACCCCTTTTAGTTAGGTCTAATTTAATAACACCTCCTTCCGATACTGAAACTTCATTACACCCTCTTTTAGGTTATACTTTCAAATCAAAGACACCATTTTAACGGTAACTTTTGATACCATTACATATAGGAAAAATTTCATCTACATCCCTACAGTTAGATCTAAATTCAACGACACCCCCTCTCGATTCTAAAATTTTACTACAAATCATTTTGATTATACTTTTCAAATCAATGACACCCTCTTAACGATAACTTTTATCTCTGTCAGTAGATAAAATAATGATTTGACTAATTTTTTTTGTGAAAATGCTAAAATTAACTTTTGTTATGTGAATGGACTAAAATGTCCACAATCCTTTTCCCATTATATATGCCATAGTCAACCAATAAGCGTAATTTATATTATTATATTATCTGAATGAATTTTTATAATTTTAAAACATTGCATGATAACTTTGTTATAATATTAGTCATCATATTATCACTTATTTGATTACATAATCGATTTTTATAATTTTTATAGTTAAAAATTACAATCGATAAAATTAATGTCAAAATCTCATCCATTTCTAACTCCTCTGCTATTATCTGTCCTCCACAAAATCATCCAACAACTCTTCATACATCATCTTTCATATATAAACTTTAAATATTATATTAATTGAATAAATTTGGTATTAATTTAATAAATTTAAATATTAATTTGGTAAAATTAAATATTAATTTAGAGTTGATTTGATAAAATTTAATGTTAATTGAATAAATTTAAATGTTGCTTTAATAAAGTTACATGTTCATTGGTATTAAATTAAATAACTGACATTAATTTGATATGGTTAAATGTTAAATTAGTGGAATTTAATATATTAAATTTTAATTTAATAAAATTAACTGTCAATTTGGTATTGATTTGATGAAATTAAATAATAATTAATTGTTAAATTAAAGAAATAATATTAATTTGATGAAATAAAATATTAAATTAATATAACTAAATACTAATTTGATAAAATTAAAAATCAATTTGTGTTGATTTGATGAGATGAAATGTTAATTTAGTTTAAATTAAATAAAAGATATTAATTTGATAAAATTAAATATTAAATTGATGAACCTAAAAATTAATATAATAGAACTAAAAGAGAGTGTATTCAAATTTTAGAATTAGAAGGGGGTATTGTTAAAGATAATTTTATTTTACAGGGGTGTCGTTGAAGTTATGTCTTTTTACAATGAGTGTGGATAAAATTTACCCTATAAAATATTCTAAGATATTTCTGTAAATTAACAATCGTCGTTAACGTCGTAACCCAACAAACACTGATAGGGGGTGACAGTGAAGTTTCCAAATCGAGAGAGGGTGTTATTAAATTTAGATCTAATTACAGGGAGTTTGGATGAAATTTTTCTAAAGTTTTTCTAAAAAAGTTCATTTTTAAGAAATAGACCTACTTTGTTGTTGTAATCCTTAATTATAGAAAGAGACCTATGATAAAAAAATTGAATGGTTACATTTTGGTGTTCGATGTCTATAGTAATCAAATAAAGTTGTGTACTGTAAACCCTAAAAGAGAACAATTGGTAGATAATCTTTTTGGTGCATTGTATTAATTCTCGCTTCGTACACGTGTTCCTCGTTAAAAGGATATATTAACCATGTTATCTAATTTTTTCTAAAACTTTTACAAAGCAAGACAACTTGAACATCTATATAATAAAGTAGCTTATAATTCAAATCTCAAAAGATAAACAAAATAATTTTTACTATTCGCAGTTGAGATTATTTTAAATTTTATTTTAAAATTAATCTAATGGCTAATATAAACACCCTAAATTTAACAGGAAAAGTAGGTATCTAAGAGTGTGTTTGGAATGACTTTTAAAAGTACTTTTAGAAATTATTTTTCATAAATACTTTTTTAAAAAAATAGTGTTTGAAACCGCCCCACCACTACCTCTACTATCACCACTGCCACCACCACCACCACCAACATCATCGCCGTCGCCTCCTCCACCCCACCACCACTGTCGTCACTGCCACCACCACTACCGTCGCCCTTGTCGCCACTACGGTCATTACCACCCACTACAACCATCACTGTTTCCTACCACCACCATTGCTGCCCACCACCCCTCACTTCCACTACAAAAGCTTAAATTCTTTTATCTCTTCTCTATGTTTGTGATTTGATTTTGGATATAAATACAAATATATTTATTGTTTACCAATTTGATTACTCTGTGCTTGAAGGCGCAGACAATAACTAGTCTCCTTATAAAGTAAACCACGAATATATAAATCTAGAACTTGAATAAATGTACGAAAATTTTTGAAAATCATCTGAACATAAACTTATTGTGTCAAGAGTTTTAGGGTAGATTGTTTTTTTGTTTTCGGCAAGTAAGTTAATTTCATTAACCAAAAAATAGAATCATACAGAGTTATACCCCATGTATAAGTAAGCA